TTTGGGGGTAGTGTCAAGTAGGGTGTCAATCAATTGGTTTTTGTTTGGATCCAATCTGATCCAAACCTTATTAAATTGATTTGGATGGTCCATTATAATTATTGGATTGGGCCAATCCAAAATAAATTGGTTCATATTCTTATTGGTTTGAATTGGACCTAAACTAAATTTTCAATAATTTGATCACGAGGCTAAACCCTTGTTCAATTTGAAATCAATAAAGACTGAAGCAAGCATAACATCACTTTTATGAAAGTACTTTTACGAAAGCACTTTTACAAAAGCACTTTTACGAAAACACTTTTACAAAAACACTTTTTACAAAAACACTTTTATAAAAGTAACTGTAGGAAAAGTATTTTTATGAAAGCACTTTTATAAAAATACTTTTACGAAAGCAATTTTGCAAAGTACTTTTATGAAAGCACTTTTATAGAAGTTTTATAAAAGAACTTTAGTAAAAGCACTTTTACAAAAGCATTTTTACGAAAGCACTTTTGCAAAATTACTTTTACACAAAAGCACTTTTATGAAACAACTTTTACGGAAGTATTTTTTATAAAAGTACTTTTACGAAAGCACTTTTGTAGTACTATGAAAGTACTTTTACAAAAGTACTTTTATGAAAGCACTTTTATAAAAACATTTCTATGAAAGTAATTTTACGAAAGCATTTTTACAAAGGCACTTTTACAAAAGTATTTTTATGGAAGTGTTTTTATAAAAGCACTTTTACAAAAGTACTTTTGCAAAATTAATTTTACAAAAGTATTTAAAAAAGTACTTTTATAAAAGTCTATGGAAGTACTTTTCTAAAAGTGCTTCTATGAAAATACTTTTATCAAAATACTTTTACATAGTGCTTTTTTAATGCCAAAAGTGCTTTTATATAATTTTTGATATTTAATTCGGTTTGGATTGGATCCAATCCAATCCATTTACATTTTAATGGATTGGATTGGATTTGGACTAGATTGGGTCTAGTCCATTTGTAAGTGGACTTACATTGGACTGGATCGGGTTGGACAAAATCCAGTCCAATTGACATCTCTAGTGTCAAGTTAGTACCTGAACTTTAGGGGTAGTGTCAAGTTAGTAGCTGAACTTCAGAACGTGTCATGTGGTACTTGAAGTTTCAAAAACTGTGAATTTGTAAATATTTGCACTCTGTTTGAGAGGAGTGCAAATACAAATATGTAGAGTGCATTTTGGTTGGTTGCAATATATAGAGTGCATTTTTTACTTATTCATAGGGAGAGGATCCAAAGTGCCATGCAAATGCAAAGTTGGCTTAGTTTTGCATTGACAAATTTACTTTCTTGCCAAACCATTTTTAATTGTAATGGGTGCAAATGTATCTCTTTCCAAACGTAACCTTATATTTGGTTTGATAGAAAATAAGTAAAAAACACGAAATTAAAGGAAAAACCATACACAACTGTAAATCAATTAAATATGACAAGGGTGCTGTATGTATATGGAAGAAGGGGTCCAAAGGTATAAGAAAAGACAAAGACAAAGAGAGACAAAAAGCTGTACAAGAAAGAATAATAGACCGTTCATTAGCCGACAAGTACTATTTGGATTTACGTGACAAATATGAGAATAAGAAAAAAAGAATCAAAAGAAAGCTGTGGGGTGTGGCCTATTTTGGCATCAATAGTTAATACCATCAGTTGGGAATGGCATCGGGGTGGGGCTGGGCGGGAACAGGAAGATATTCTCAACCTCGTCCCCATGAAAATTTCCATCCCAATTCTTGTTTCCGTTCCCGTCAACGGGATAAGGTTATGTCCATCTTCATCCCTACAGGGATTCTTATTCTTTTTGAATTTTTATAATATCAATCATTTTATTTTTATTTTTTATTTTATTTAAAATTTTAAAATTAAAATAATTAAAATTTATAATCCTATTAAAAAAGATTTAAACATATTCAATCATATTTTTAAAAATATTAGTATATATACATACATACACATACACACACACACACACACACATATATATATATATATATATTGGGGATCCCATGGGGTGGGGAGTGCTCTCCCCATCCCTGCCAACAGAGATGAAAATTTCTCCATTCCCACCCCTGTGGGGGAAAATCATCTCCATCCCCGCCCCATTCGAGATGGATCCTTATAGGGGTTAGGGAAATGTGGAAAATTACCATCCCTACTATCAGTATGGGGGAGGTGTGGGCTGTAAAAGATGCAATGACACTGGTGATCCAAGGATTGAACTCTACTACAATGAAATCATTATACAAGGGCCCTGGTCCAAGGATTGGATCCCAAATGGTGGCTAGGGTTCGAATTTTGTCAAAATTTAGATGTCCCTGGTCCAAAGGCCCAAGCCCGAATGGTATAAAATACTTACTTGGATCAATTCGAGTTGCATCCCTTGATGGTTGAATTGATAGGTTATCTTATAGTGGATGGGATCAAATACCACTGCCACCAGGGTTGGGGGATTGTGGTTAGGGGTGCAACTCAGGTGGGTTGGATTGGGTTTAAAGTCAACCCAGGCCCAACCCTAAAGCTGCAAATCTTGGGCTTGGGCCTGGCCCAACCAAAGTTTATTAACCCAGGCCCAATCTGAGCTTAATCCAATACAACTTAGGTTGGGCTCGAGCTCAAATTAGGTTAGTCAGGTTGGGCGGATTTGAAGAATTCATGTATATATTTATATAATTTTACATAGTAATTTTTTATTGGACTTTATCACTTTATGGCCCAATTTAAGAGTAGAAATGATTGAAAATAGCAATTTTTTATTAATGTATATGTACATACTTTATACATAAACAACTTTCTGAGCAGGCTTGGATTCGGTTGGGGCTGGCTTGGGCTACACAAGGCCTCAAACCAAGCTCAACCCAAGTTCAGGTCAGGCCTGAATTTTCAGGCCCAGGCTCAGCATGTAGCGTGAAATTTCAGGCCCAACCCATGCAGATACTTGGGTTGTCCAAGTTTGTCCCCAAACTTTAAAATGCAATAATTCAGTATTTAAATTTTCAAAACATGTCAATCCAATACCTACCGTTAACCAGCTGCTAATCAGCCATTAAGTAGCATTTGAAAAAGATATAAATGTCTTTCAAGTGTCATCTAATTTTCTTGATCAACCATCAAAAAATTAGCAAAAATTTAACAATCCCAAATTCTTGTATCTTCTATTCAAGAAAGTAGGAGTCACTAGAATGGCCACTAAGACGTGACCCCAACCTTCTTGAATAGAAGAGGCAAGGATTTGGGACTGTTAATTTTTTGTCAACATTTGTATGGTTGATAAAAATATTAGATGACACTTAAAGGGCATTTGTGTCTTTTTCAAATATCATTTAACGGTTGATTAACAACTACTTAACTGTAGGTACTATGTTGACACATTTTAAAAATTTGGATACTAAATTGTCGCATTTTAAAGTTCAGGAACCAAAGTGATACTAGGCCCAAAGTACAGAATACTAATCGAGAATTTCCAAAAAAAATCACCTTGGATGATTGCCTTCTTCTCTATGCGGCATGGTTATAAGATGAGAATTTGAATTCAAAATTGACCTCAATTTGATTTGTTTAGTATGCTTATATACACTTGAAAGTGTTGTGTTTGTACTAAAGCCATTACTTCAAACTTAATAACATTTATTTTTAGGCTTCGACCATAATCAATCAACCGACATCATTGATAACCAAGGAGGTAGATATTCATCAAAATTCGCTGGGGTTTTGACTAGTCAAAATTCTTTCTGCCATAATAGATTCTTCCTTATTTTTAATATACTTTATTATGATATATAGCAATTTTATTTCTGAATTATTTATGATATACAATGTCAAAGTCATCTTTCAGTTCATTTTATTCATGCTATTAAATTCAATTTGAATCCAATACAAACCCAATGGATAAGATTTGATTCGAATTCAAATGTAAATAGAATCTAATTTGAATCTACCTTTTATCGGATTCGATCCTATGGTAAGACCTAAGCCCTATTTACTTTGTTCCTTCAGCAGGAATTAAACATCACAGTCACACAGAAACTACACTTCTCTCTTGAATCTTTTTTATTTTATTTTATTTTTTTACTTCAATCCAGCCTTCTTTGGTATGCCTGTCTTTTATATATGGATATTTCAACTAGTAACATAACACTTTTTATTGATGCTGTACATTGTCTTCTCTGTACCCAACTAAATCATTTCAGTCTAATTTTCTACGTAAAATATAATTGGACTAGAATTAAAAACATGTGAAATATGTAAAGAATGCCCAGAAAGAAGGCATTCTTTTGACATGGCATGGGGCCATTTGGTTGAAACCCTGGAGGCCGAATCGTTTTTGCCTCTAGGTCGTGGGTCACCGATTGGACTGGCCGGGTTGAACAGTTCAGGCCATGTCATTATATACATATGTATATAAATATATATATTTATCAATATATAATGTATAAATATGCATTTTTATATTTAATTTATATTTTTAACTCAATTTTTTAATTTTTTTATTCATAAAAATATTAAAAATTGCAATTTGATAACGAAAAAGGTTTTTTTTTGTGAGAATAGCAGGGCAAGGTGCCTTGGGACGCATAAGTCTCAAAAAGTTACCCAAAATAAAAAAAACCCAATCGAACATCGAAGTGCAAAATTATAGCCTTCGAAAATTTGCATACATTGAATGTGCAACCCACGACCCAGTGACCGGGTCAAATGCGTCAACAGTTGAACCGACCGGGTCAGACGGTTCTTGACCAAATCAATGGATTTTTATCATTTGATGGGTCTTAACTGAACCGGACCTGGACTCTTGGCCGGTGACGGTTCGACCTGCGGGTTGAAAACACTGGTTGAAACTTTCAGCCAAATGAAAAGCGAGTGATGTGGCTGCAGCTGGGGAACTTTATGGGCACCAAGTCACCAACTAAACTAGTATTTACTATTCAGAAATGAAGAATATAAATAAAATATATATATGATATTGATACTAGCACATATGCGCATGCAAGCACATAGAAGCACAGACTTAAACTTCTCTACTACTAAATACAGGCAGCAAGAAATAACTCATCTTCGCAATTAACATCTCCAAGACCATTTTGGGAAGATGAACAATCTGGTAAACTTTCCTAGTTATGCATTTGAAGGGAACACCTTCCGAATGAATTCCAAGAAGCGCTGAGTGTAGAATGTTGGGTCAACAGCTGATATGGATATGGAATCAAACTGGATAGATTTGTATGCGTGTTCAATCTTCTTGTTCATGTTGTACTCCTGCAAAATGTCAATGATGCCTACATACAGAACAACATCATACACTTCTTGAAACAACTGCTGTTTCCTTTCTCCGGGAATATGCTCAGCTCTAGCAGGCATATTCACTCCAAGCTGAATCTGGAGCCTGATCAAACAGAGATAATGAAGAATCAATTCCAATATATAAAAGGAAAAGGATCATTCCAGATGGAATGGACATGGAGTTTAGGCCCTACTGGGAAGAAATAAGCTGAAGCCTCAACAGTTCTATATATACCTTGCTGTACCAGGAAGTAGGAGATCCACTTCCTCATCTCCAGCAGCTGATGCTCTTAACCGGCTGCCCCTGACATGAGGGCCCACAATGACACTGTCATCATTGTTTCCACGCGGTATCAGAACAAGGCTTTGAGGGTAGTTGAACATTTCATCCCCTTGGACATCTGGCATTGATATTATCACCAACATCACTGATACTAGATATGCATGCAAACATATGTTGGGATAATTGGATTGATTCAACTATTTACAAGTCCTAAATGATGGATGATATGAGAATAATTCCACTCAAGGGAAGGCATTAAGAAAAGAAACGATCCACTGGTTTCCTTCACTTATTTTTCTCCATGTGCACATGATGAAATCACGGATATCCAAAGCAGAGAGCATAGTTTTCGTGCAGACTTGAGTTGTTTCCATATTCATGACCCCCCATTTCTTTTTTTTGTATCCTAGACTTCCTAGTTTCTCTTCCTTTTCTCTAAGGATTGCAACTATAGAAAAATAAAAGAGGGAATATGTAAGTAATATTTGAGAAGAAATAAAAAACATGCCATTTTACATACTATATATTTGCTTTTTTCCGCTGGGTACTAACTAAAATAGAAAAGCTATTTGATTGCTCACTGCAAACCACAGGAGGTGTAAATAGTGTTCAAAATGATAAGGTCTTGTTTGTCAGATGCTTTTTACAGATTCCCTATTTTCTGTTTTTCATTGTTCTATAATCTTTGTGCAACTAGTTTATATTTTGATAAGGCCTTGTTGAGATATATCTTTTAGGTAAGTCCAATGGATTCATATTTTTCTTGTTAAACATCATCCCAGTAGGTCCAATGGACTCAACTACTCTTCTTACTTTTGAGAACTCAAGCAATTATTAAGTGTTTCTAAATCATACAAAACAACTAAACTGTATCGGCTTCAAAGAACTTTTGTTCATTGATTTATATGTTAATATAACTGATTCATCTCTCTATGCTAACATGGCTGGATTATCAGTCTGAAAAGGCTCCAAATTGATGTTTCAACTCCTAAAAATGATACAAAGCACTTACTCTGGTTGGAGATAAACCAGACTAACTAAAGAACTTTCTGAAAATTGAATTCTTATTGGTCAGACTCAAGTTAAGCCAATGACAAGGAATCATAATAAAATATGATTCAAAGAACTCTTTAAGACAATAGAATGAAAATGCAGTAACTCCAAATTCCTATGCTTTTTAAGCTAAAGATACAGAACTTTTAATTCTTTCTGAAAAAAAATATTAAAAGTACTGAAGCATATAAAAAGGAAAGGGTTAATTTGGTATTAGCAAAATATGGGAGAGGATTGATTTGGGTATATTCCATTATTTTGGAGAAGGCATAGCCCTGATTATTAGTCAAAATGTGTACGCTTTAAAAGAAAAAGCACTTGTGTTTTTTAACCATTATAGACAGAGATCTCTTTTCACTGAGGATGTGACCGTTTAAAAGGACGTGCCCAATCAGTCCTAAAAAGAAGAAATAAAGCAGAACCACCTAAATTAATTTAGGGATTTTTGGACTGCAATCCCCCTCAGAAATCTGAATTGCAGCCCCCTCTTAAGGTTTGTTCGTTTCCTCTAACTCTTATCTCTTAATAGGAATCTTTTAATTTCAAGAGAAAAATGGTTGTTCGTTTCCTCTTATCTCTTATCTCTTAAAGTGCAATCATACAATTTTTTGTTTTCTAATGATACTCTCAAAAAGACAAACAAAAACTGTCATATATGGGTAAAAATGGATATTTGATAACTTTAAGAATTCATAATTTAGAATTCAGAACAACATCCTGTGCATTCAGAGTTCAGAGGAAAGAAAAGTTCACCAATACCAATATACCTCTTAATGTAATTATTGCATTTTCAGATGTCAAGATTCAGAGAAAACAAATAGGCCACTAGTCTACTAGTAGCCCCCTATAAAATTGGTTTCCAAAATCATGTGATCTAGGACTAACCTAAATAATTTCTGCTTATGATTCTTGCGGTCTTAAGTATGCAACACAGAATATTAGAAATAGAAATTTGGACTTAAAAGAAATGAAGAGGGCGTAGCCCTGGTGTGACCAAGAAAAGAAAAAGAATTTAAGGAGAAAACAGGGAGGCAGAGACCCTGTTTTAGACAAAAAAAAAAAAAGAAAAGAAAAAGAACAAGGGGCTCCACTGCTGTTTTAGACTAAGAAACTGGGGAAACACATAAAAGAAGAAAATGAAAATAAGGGGCAGATCCCCTATTTCAGACCAACAATGAAGATGGGAAAAAATGATGAAAAAACTCACAGAAATAGAGAAGAAAAGGGGGCGGAACCCCTATTCCAAATCACCTTCGAGGAGGAAAAAAGTGCAGGTAAATGAATAAGATAAAAAAGGTGAAAAGATTGCAGGAAAATGAAGAAGAAAAGAAGGGTGCGGAGCCCCTGTTTTATTCCAAAAAAGTCGTGCAAAATACGTAGGGAAAAGACAGAAAAAAAAGAGGAAAAAGCAACAAAAAGGAAGAAAAAAAAGGCTGAAAAAGAAGAGGGTAGGAAGAAGAATAAGTGGTCCAAGGCGGACTGAAAACTGAGAAGAAGAAGAAGAAGAGTGATAATGTGTGAAACAAAATGGACCCAAAACTGAGAAGAAGAAGAAGAAGAAGAAGAAGAAGAATGATAATGTGTGTGAAACAAAATCGGACAGCTCTCCCTCTTCTATTCAGTTCCGGAAATAGTGTGATAGGTCCTATTATGATAACAAAAACAAGCCAATAAAATTTATTTATGAACGTCGCCCCCTTCCCCTTGGAGTTAACCGCCTAGGCAACTTGTATTAGGCCCTTTATGTTGTGGGTTATGGGAACATCAAATAGCTTCTTAGGAGTTACGAGAGGAGGTCACATGCTGTCCCATTCCCATCACTTTTTATATGCCATGAACATTATGATGGTCTGAGATCCAACTGTGTTTTGTAATCTTGTGTGATGCCAAACACCAATCTCAGATAGCTAGTTTTTTTTTTGCCTATTTCTTTTTTTTTTTTTGGGAATTTCCTTGTATTTGGGAACAAAGGTTATTTTTGTCTTTTTCGTATTAGATCCATCATATAAAAATCTGTTTTCTTTGATTACATATGATGAATGAATTTCCTCGGAGTTTCTCTTGGCTGTTCAAATCTGGTTGTGATGCTACCTGTATTTAGGTATGTTTCCTATATAATCTGGAGAGATTGAACCCTAATATTTGAGGAAAGCCTGGGAAACCAGTATGATTAATAACTTCTCCACTTTAATATCTATCCAGGTCAAGAGACGAAGGGCAGAGAAGTTGGCTTCTCATATAATCCTTAAAATAACTAGAGGAAGTTGATTTACCTGAGCCACTCCGTTCTGTTTAGCCATTTGGTCATCTACAACTTCTAACCCTGGTTTCTCAAATTTCTTCTTACGTATGTTATAAAATCTCAGACTGTTTGGAACCTTACCTAAAAACCCATCAATTAAACCTAATATAGCCCCAACTCTAAGCCCAGTCCAAATTAATCAAATTCCATTTCCAATTACCCTAATTTCCCTTATCTGTCTGACATTGAAGTGCATGCCATCTGTTCATATGGCTGAACTGATTCTCTTTCCTTCGCTTAAGGAATGAAAAGACTTTATCTTAAAAGGACTTACCAAGGCAGAGCAAAACTATAAAAGATACTTGTCGTATATTATAAACCTGAAAATTTTCAATATAATAGAAACAGCCTCTCTTTCCACCAGTGTGTTCACACATGGAATTTAGATAATTGTTCAGTGACAGATTTGAATATACGACATAAAAGGTATAAATGTTTTACAACTTAAAATAACTTTTTAAAATGTCTGAGGTTAGTTCCTTCATCTTATTCAATGTAAAACAGCCCTTCAAGTAGAAGATAAAAAGCAAAAAAGTAAATATAAAAATCCTACTCCTGGTGAACTGGACTACTTTGGAAGGCTGCACAGATAAACAGCACACGAACACAAAATCAGCCAGGCAACCCAGTGAATCAGGTAACCGTTTTCTTTTATTCCTTTTCTTGTTAACCATGTTACCATGGAGTCAACCCTAGCTAAAGCAGTGGATCATAAAATTAGGGGCTTATGCAAAAGTAGGGAATGAGAAATTATACCTTCAATTTTGGAAAGATAAAGGCTTTTCTTTAATTGGGAAAAGAGTGCTGGTCTGACAGATCCAGACTATTCTTTCATTGAGAAATGTTCTAGATTAGCCATATGTACTGGGAAACCATGAATTGCAATTAATCTCTACAAATTTCAGTCCATGGGTAGATGGGAAGGTGAGGCAAATAACTTTGGCACTGTAGCAGAGGGCTAAGTACTGAAAAATGCTACATGTAAAGATCATGACATTGAAAACACATAAAGCCATTTTGGGTTTCCAATTCTGCTGTTACATGTTGAAAATGTGTACGAGCAAGAGCTCAGACCTGGACCTTCAAGGTGAAAATCATGTCTGTAAGACTTCAAAGGGAAGCATATCTTTCATTGTACTTCTTATTACTGTTCTTTCCTTTTTCTTTTTCTTTACAAGATTTCCTCAACATAGGTGCTTCTAAACATTGAATAATATCTATCATTCCAAAATCATACTATCACTTGACTTTCAGATTTCATATGGTTTATGGCAGCCACAAGTAGTTTATTTTACATCATCAACTTAAAGAAAATGCAACTGGTTGGATGGGAAACTTACCTTCTTCTGCAACAATCTCCAATCCATCTGCTGATAAGCTTTGATGGTAAGACATGATAGACCGAAGATGTTGCGGAGCTCGGTAATGAACACCCAACAAAAGGCTGTAATCCATTATGTGTTGTGTTTCTAGAAATCTACTATCAATCTCAATCTGCCTGCATAAGTATAGATTTATTAAGAAAGTACAACTAACAACAGCTGGGAGATTCTTATTGAAGAGAGAAAGTGACTAGGAATGATTGGCAGCAACCAATGCATATGAAAGGAAAATTTGTTTTCTAGAATACCAATGGATCACTTAAAATCCCTAAATTAACAAAAGCCACGTGGAGGGTGGCAGGTGATATAGATACCCATATCATAGGTAACATACTACTGTGCATAGCTAGGACATTTCTCCCACTAATAGAAGCCATCAAAACTTTCCTTAAATCAATATCAGAGTTATGGAGACAATGATGTGAACTAACAAGAACAATAAATATGAAGAGCTATAATTGAAACCTTCTAGGACCATCTCCGGAATCATACAAGAACATTTTTATTTTTTCAACAAGGGATATGCTGCAATTTTTTATATAATGTAAAGTTTTATTGATCATCATGATTAAGTGAATATAAAGTAGTTAGTGGCAATACAAAAGGGCCCAGAAGGAGAGAAAAAGAAGTTTATAATGAAGATTGTCCCCCCATATCACACCCTTAAAAGTTCCCCAATGCAACTCTTCTATCCATCCCAGATCTTGATAAACTATCTCCAAGCCATTTACTAACATTTTCTGACCCAACTAAATGAGATATTCACCCTTGAAGGAGCTCTAGTTTGTTTTATGAAATGTCTCATCTACCAGTGTCCTTCTCCCTGATCGTCATCCATCTGACAGCCACAAGAAAGTCTCCTTCTACATCTACTCTTTGAAATTCTAACGAAATAATGAGTCTAGGGGGGCTATTTGATAATAGCTGAAATGGCTGAACTGAAAATCTCATTGCTTTGTCTTTTAGTGAATAAGGCTTTAAGGAGGTTGTGGGACTTATTGGCTGAAGCTGAAGTTGGGTAAAGTACTATAGCCTTGAATACTTTATTATTTAATTATTTTATTCCACTAAAAGACAAAACAATAAGTCATTAAATTCAGCAATTTCATCTATTATCAAAAGACTCCAATCTAAAAAAGGCAAAGATTTCAGCCTTAACCACTGTCCCAAAGTCAACCAATCCTGAATGGACATAAAGTAAATCTCTAAAAGCTTCTAAAATACCTGATTTTCCCACACTCCCCATGGAACAGCCATCAAAATTTAATTTGAAACTCTCTGAACAGGAGAAAAAATCAGCATGTGGTTCTGTCTTCTACTGGAGATTCTTGATGTCTCATCCCATGCTATCATGATATCATTCATTAAAAAATCAGAGAAATTTTCTAACGTAATTATTAAATAAGCTACTTTCAAATGTATAATTTTCATCAAAGTTCCCAGCTGGTTCTTCTCTTGGAAAAAAATGAGCATTCCTTTCTCTCAGTGCATATAACAGCTATTCGTCCACCTTAGTATGATCTTTTCTATTTCTGTAGGAGGAGAAAAAATGTTGCAATCAAAAGTATTTGAATATCACCCTGTAATGACACTAAGACCAAAAAAGAAGAAAAGTATTCCCAAATCTTAGTCACAAGAAAACAAGAAATAAAGTAGTGATAAATGGTCTCTCCCTCCAAATTTCATAGAAAACAAAAATGGGAGCTAATACAAAATATGGCCTAATCAACAGACCAAACCCTTTATCTTGATCCAGAGGACAAAGAAAAACACCTGATAAGTCATTCAAAAAAATTATCAACACCTAAGACCTCATGATCTCTTTAATTTCTACAAAATTTAAAATTCCAAGAGAACACTGGATAAGGCCAAGTAATACATGATTTAGTAGGAGCAGATTTGAACTAAGGTATATAAAGTAGAATGAAGAAAAGAAAGAATGGAGTCGTGCACCAAGGATCCGATTGAAACTTTACTCTATCCCTACATAAAAGATCTACCTGACAATTTCCGAGGAAAAGCTAACATAGACCTCCTACTTAATCATGTATCTCATCTATTATCTACGGTACCAAGAATGCTTTTAACTTACAAAATGCCACAGGCTATCCCCTTCTAAAGGGTATTTCCATCATATTTTTCAACTTGTTAGCCTTCTTCTTACCAAGACACATTGTCCCTAATTGTGATCCTCCTTAGAATAACCCAACTCCCAAATAAAATTCTTAATAATCTTTTCAAACTTATTTACCACCTTCATATGAGCTATTGAGCTCTAAGCGCTGAAACAATGCATTGGTAAGTTAGAGAAGATAGACTTAATCAAAGTGGTCCTCATTCCCAAGGAAAAGCAATGCTTCTAATCCTTCATTGGCCCAGCCAGTTGAACTGTTCAACCCGTCGCCCAGTCATAATACTGGCTTGGGTTAACCCCCAACCCACCTTATAGCAAAATCCAATTGACTCGTCAGAGAGACCTGGTGATCTAGGTGAATGAACCGTTGACCCAGTCAGATATCCTTTTTTTTTTTTTGCATTTTTACTTCAAAAATTAACAACAATACTTCTTATTTGTTGAACCTGTTTTGTTTAATGTGATAAATATTTAAGATTAAAGAGATGCCCCATTTTCTGTAACTTTATAAACTTTTCCTTTACTTTTTATCCATTTCCATCATTGATAATAATAGTTCCTAAGTTTTTTTTTTGCAATTATGGAAGTTACACACACACACACACTCCTTTTTTACATTTTTGTTTGATGTGTGTGTGTTTGAAGGGGGGGGGGGGGGGGNGGAGGGTATACAAGTGATTAACAATGGGAAGTTTCTAGTTCCTCTTGTCTATAACCTAAACTCATAGACTAAAATATGATTTTCCAGTTAATTTGTGTTAGGGATCAAGAATATGAAAGAAACGATTGACATAAAACCATATTTCAGGTGCTCCTGGACCAAATAGTTCTTTGATATCCAGAATTAGATTTAAATAAACAAAACTGACATTCAACAAAGTATCCTTACTTTAATAGAAACAACCTCCAAGAAGGTTCTAAATAGAAGCAATAGTTCAAATCCAAATCCTTAAGTGTTGTATTTTCATCAATTTCAATATTCTCTGAAGAGCGCCCTAAGGATGAACCTTTCAGATCAAATCTTCGATGAATTCTCAACTCAATGCAGAACATGTTGCCCATTACTACAAAGCGAAACTGCAAAACGAGGATTCGTTCATAAAGATTACCTTCTTATATGCCATAGTATGCAATGCATTACTGAAAGGGTTATTATCTGAAACACCCCACAACTTTTCTGACTTTCTCTTGAACTTACCCTGACTTTTCGATACCTCCAGAGGCACCCCTGTCAGACATTTTCTGTTAAAAAAACTAACAGTGTTTGCAAGATCACAATGATTCCCCTTTAATCAAGGCATCTATTCAGTTAAATAGAACTGTTGGTGGGTTGTGAGATGAGTGACATGAAACACACAATGAAATAGGAGAGAAAAATAAACCAAGGGTCTTTTATCATTTTGAAAATTAGTTAATAGGGTAGACTAGTTAGTCAAGGTTAGTTTTGACATTAAAAAATAAAAATGGCACATGTGGACCACTTCTGTTATGGTTACTAATGCTGGATTGATGGAAGGTATGTATTTTATAAATAAAAGTGTCTGATGGGGGGGTCTCTAGAGGTATCAAAAAGTCAGGGTAAGTTTAAGAGAATGTTAGGAAAGTGAACAGGAGTTTCAGATAATAACCCTTACTGAAATTAAAGTTTAACAAAAGCACACATGTAGAAAAAGAAGAAGAAATGGAAATTGAAAATAACTATATCCAAATTTTCATTACAAATTGGATATAAAAGATAAAAATGGATGGTTACTCAATGTTGATCCCAGATATCTGGGGTCTTGGAAAGGGTGGACTGGATACAGACCCAACCTTCGGCATTTTCTTGCACGAAGTGGCTGCTCTCTCAGATTCAAACCTGTGTTTTCATTCTTGCCAGCCCAAAATTTTGCCTTTGAACCAAGCAGTGGCCCCTTTTGTCCACTTGATGGGCATCAGAGATACAGTGCTAAAATTTATTTCACTGTATTCACTACCTTTTGTCCACTTGATGGTTTAATCCTGTGGAGGCCAAAAAATTTGGTTATGAGTGTATTCTCGTATATACGGACATGATGGTGATAGTCTGGAAGCATCCTCAGAAGAACCTACAGAGAGTAGTGGTCAATATCACCTCAACTGACAAATTTAAACATCAAATATACTATGTTCCAATGATAATGGTCAACAAAGGACTTGCTTGATTGAAGGTCACAGAGGAAAAATGAATATGTAGTTTATAATCAAAGAGGGAAACATAGGCAAAAAAAAAAAAAAAACAATAAATAAAATTGCAACATGATAACTATGAAATCAAAAATACAATAACGTATTTAGCATCAACACCACATGAAGTTAAATAGGAATTCCTTGACTCCTGCCAACATGACCCAAAAAATAAAACTATATATATATATATAGATATAGATATAGATATAGATATAGATATAGATATAGATATAGATATAGATATAGATATTCCCCCTCAAGCTAGCACCTGGGAAGAAATAATATAATAACCTGATAGCAAAACAAAAAATAAATGGTAAAGACTCTGCCTTGAAAAAGAATAACTATAGCCTTTCAACAATCCATTGAATACATGCAAGGCACAATGAATCTTCGTTATGGAAACACTTGAACATGCTAGCAACATGCATTACCAGGGATCTTCAACCAAAACAAATAAGATCATAACCAAAGAATCACTCTCCTTTTCTTGTAATTGTCAGATATATGTTCCTCTAGCCTTCAACTGGACATTTGAGCTCTTTCCAATAGAACACAAATCAAGACATTCCTTGTAATCACTCCATTGAAAACCATATCAAACTTTGATAATCAAATAACCAAAAAATATAATTTAACTCAGCTCCATGAACCAATTTCCAAAAGATGACTACAACCTGACACATAGGGTACAAGAAATCACCCCCATATGAGCTTGTAGAAACTAGAGGAATAGGGTGCACTTGCGCTAAAAGCCTAGAAAGCTCAAACATCCAATTTACCAACTCTAGAATCCGTGCACACTATAAACACCTGTGGTCCACAATAGATTCCACCCAAGATGTTTTACAAAATACTCTCTGGTTCTTCTTGATTTTTGAGCAAAGTTTGAAGACTCCTACTTTGAAAACAACTAAGCATCAATTAGCTCTACTCTAGGATACTTTCCTAGGCATCAACAAATTAAAAAAAAAAAAGAACTTCAAAAATACCTTAAAAAGTAGGAAATTTAAGAATAAAAATAACTAATGAATTTGGAAGAAACAAAATTATTAATTTATGAACTTACTATTTATAGTAAAACTGATACTTACTTTTTATAATAAAAACTAGAGATGATAACAATAACTCAACAGGAGGCAAATATTTAGAATAGGAGGATTAAACTAACAAGACTTACAAGAGGGAGATTGGACACAACAAAAGAAACTAAACAAGAACTGAATAAAAACTAATCAAGAACAATAGCAAAAGAAAGAGCAAACACCAAAAGACATCTAACAGTTCAGATTTGATCATAATCAACTTTAGATCTGATCATTATCAACACCATCATCATTAGAGTTTTCTTCTTCTTGCTTTGATACCATCTTGTTTTTATCTAGTTCAGTAACAATATAATCTCCTTTGAAATATCTTCAGTAAGAATGAATCTATAATGATTTAATCCAGAAAGAGATAGGAAAGAAAAGAGAGAAAAATTTAGAAGATAACTAAGATATCAACATAGCATAATATCATGTATAAGATCATAGGGAATTCTTCTCACCTATGATGCATGACTCATTGTTGTTTGAGAACCATATTATTTTCTTAAGGCCTTGGGTTCATGGCATACAGAAAATAATCTGGGTGCAGGTGTAGAGAATATACAAGAAGGTGCTCCTAATGTAAACTTATGCAAAATAAATTATATAAATCATATGATTCAATTTCAACGACAATCATGTAATTTTATCTACCCTTATAACATGGAAATAACTCAAGTTTGACAAAGATTAGATGTACCTTTACTTCAGATTTCCGGAGGGTCTTAATCATAAACCTATCATCTTGAGATAGGAAAAAGACACTGCCACTTTTTCCAGGGGACGAAAGTTCCCTAAGAGCATCACTTCCACAAATGGACATCATGTAATCTGCAGCATCAATCTTGAACATTTCTCTCAAATTTCTGTTAGCAAAGAAAATGAAATGTCTGAGAGCAGGCAACATGAACAACTATTCAATTTTACACACTCAATTTCTTAAGAATTTCAAGATCCATGAATGCATATTGAAAAATGTTATGCAGGAGAGAAGAATGGAAGAAGAGAGAAAAGAGAGAGAGAAGAAGAGAGAAGAGAGAACTGAGAGCAAAAGATATTTCTGGCGGCACAGCTTTTTTAATATATATACTAGGGCGACAACAACTAAAATAAAAAAGAGTAAAAGTACAATAGTACCCCTATACATAGGAAAAATAACAGCCGTTAACACTCCCCTCAAGTTGGGACATAGATGTCAATCATGCCCAACTTGTCACATAAATCATGATGTCGTGAGTGGTGTAGTCCTTTCGTAAAGATGTCTGCAAGTTGATCCTCAGAGTTGACATAGGGAGTACACACTTCCCCTGTGATAACCTCTCTTTGATAAAATGCTTGTCGACTTCGATGTGTTTAGTTCTATCGTGTAGCACAAGGTTAGCAACAATGTTTATGGCTGCTTTGTTATCACAGAATAGGGTCATAGGTCTGTCCACTAGAAAACCCAACTCACTCAACAGATTCTTTATCCACATAATTTCAGCCACTCCATGAACCATTGCTCGATATTCAGCTTCAGCACTGGATCTAGCTACCATACTTTGCTTTTTGCTTCTCCAGGTAACTAGATTTCCTCCTATGAAGGTACAATAGCCACTAGTTGAATTTCTGTCATTTAGGGATCCTACCCAATCTGCATTAGTATACACTTCAACTTTCAAATGTCCATGCCTTTGAAACAACAAGCCAGCACCTGGAAACCTTTTAAGGTATCAGAGGATTCTTTCTACTGCTTCAAGATGAGTGGTCATAGGGGCATGCATGAATTGGCTAAGGACACCAACTGCATAAGTAATGTCTGGGCGGGTCATAGAAAGATATAACAATCTCCCTATAAGTCTTTGAAACTGTTTCACATCCTTGATAGGTTCACCTTGGTTGTCACCTAATTTATGGTTAGGATCAATAGGGGAATCAATTGGCTTCACTCCCATTTTTCCTGTATCCTGGAGTAAATCTAGGACATACTTCCTTTGGGAAATGAARATACCCCTTTTTGAGCGGGCAACTTCAATTCCTAGGAAGCATCTTAGAGGACCTAGATCCTTTACTTCAAAATGCGTGGCAAGAAAACTCTTCAACTTTTGGATTTCATCCTTCCAGTCGCCGGTGATAATTATATCATCAACATATATTATCAAAGCAACAATTTTACCTTCTCCTCTTTTCACAAACAATGTGTGATCATATTGACATTGCTTGTATCCTTTTTACTGAACCGCTGCATGGAATTTGTTGAACCAGGCTCTCGATGATTGTTTCAGCCCGTATAAAGACTTCTTCAACCTGCACACCTTTTGTTCATTGCCTTGAGCTTGAAAACCAGGGGGTTGTATCATGTAAGCTTCCTCTTCAAGGTCACCATTCAAGAATGCATTCTTGATATCAAGCTGATGTAG